TCAGGCCAGGACAATTAATAACTATAAAGTTTTTACAGGCCATCTTTAGGTGGTGGGAAGTAAGATGCATGTACGGTCAAACCTCGGTTGTCGAACGTAATCCATTCCGGAAGCCTGTTTGGCTTCTGAAACATTTTACAACCGAGCCATGGTTGCAAGAGCTTCCTGCACTCAAGCGGAAGCCATGTCGGATGTTCGGCTTCCAAAAAATGTTCGAAAACAGGAGCATTTACTTCCGGGTTTTTGACGTTCAGGAGCCAAAACTTTCCAAAAAGGAGCTGTTCAGGAACCAAGGTTTGACTGTATTATATCCTACTAAACCTCATCTGAATGAATGACTTACAACCTTATTCCATGTTTACTCAGAAGTAAGCCCAATTGATTTCAATGGGGTTTACTCCCAAGTAAACAGGGTTGGGATTGCAGCCTTACTCCTTGGCATTTATTTCTGCCGTTTTATGCCACGCTTTCGCCAGCTTTGTGTAATCTCCCTGCAAGCAAATCAGAATGAATGCACAACAAAACAAGGTCACATGGAAGCTCCATATGTCCTCTTTTTCCAGGACACGTCCTCTTTTTCATGGAGAGCGTTGCCATAGCGACCCATAGTTTAACACAGAAGTTGGCAAATGTCTCCTGTTTTTTGCTCTTCAAAATATGGCAACCCAACGTCCTGAAATGCAAAAGCATAGGGTGTTCTGAAAGGTTGCAAGATTGCAGATTTCGGCTGAGTGATATGAGAAACATTTTGATGGTAAGAGCAATTTGACTATGGAGGCTGGAGAGATGTCTGTTGTGAGCTATTCTATCTCTGCACCAATGAAAGGTTTGACTAAGATGACCCTCAAGGGATTCTGGGATGTGTGATTTTTCTTGTGCCCAGTGCTTTTTCTTTGGTAAAAATAATAAAACAATGAGGTTCCAGAACTTGTATCTTGATACAAGTGCTGTGAGTGCCATCACAAAATGGCTTCAGGTGCCAGCACAAAATGGCTGCCATGGACAAGAAACAAGAGGTGTTTGTACTGGTGAATACTGTCACAAAAAAGCATTGTTTGTGTTATTATGACACAACATCACTCATCTACAAACTGGAATTACACCTGGTCATCTTAGAACGGGTCAGCAAACTTTTTCAGTAGGGGGCAGGTTTGTCCACTGTCTCTCAGACCTTGTAGGGGGCCGGACTATATTTTGGAAAAGAAAAAGAATGAATTCCTATGCCCCACAAATAACCCAGAGATACATTTTAAATAAAAGGACACATTCTACTCATGTAAAAACACACTGATTCCCAGACTGTCCACGGGCCGGATTTAGAAGGCGATTGGGCCAGATCCGGCCCCTGGGCCTTAGTTTGCCTACCCATGTCTTAGAATAATTGGGTATTGACTTGATAGGAAAGTATTTTATAATTTCTCTCATAAGAATTATACCCCCATGAATGGCAAACCCATTTACTGGAATGAATCGCTATCAAATTTTGCCTAAACTAAAATTTCAAGTCTTTTTTTGGGGGGGGGGCCAGAAGCAAAAATAACAATTAAGAAATTATTTATCTGCTGTCTGTTTTAACTGCTATTACTTATGTATAAAATCTTATTTCTACTGGGTGATATTAAATAAACAGTGGGTGATATGCCATTTTAGTCATACTCCAAGTAGGTCCATTGAAACCAATGGGCTTCAGTCAATCTCAAGGGCTGTGAGGATGACTCATGTTGCCTATCAGCCACTGTTTATTTAATATTGCACTGTTATGTGATGGTAACATTTATATACTGTATGTTGCCTTTCTATGTGTATGAGTATGATCTATCTATCTATCTATCTATCTAAAAATAAATAAAATTGGCTGAGGCAAAAATTGGAGTGTCCTGCCGAGGGAAGCTGCCACTGCAATTTTGAAGGAAGCAAGAAGTGTTCCAGATTTTCCTGGAGGGACGGCACATCCTGACCTCCTGAAATGTCAAATTGCCAACTTGCCTTAAGCACCGCCCTTTAGATCTCTTTCTGTTTGGAGAACCTGCCACACCTTTGGATGACACAGGACATTCTGTTCCGAAGCCTTTGTGGTGTGCTGTTAATGCTTGCATTATATCCTAGAGGAGCATGAGTCAATCAATAATTAAAGCACAGAGTATTAAGTTGTTGACATGGCAACATGCTCATCACACTGTCTTTCTCTTCTCAGGCTTACCTGCTGCTTCGTCTAAGTCAGGGATGGGGAACATGTGGCCCACCAGATAATGCTGTCCGGACTACATATCCTATCATCCATGGACATTGGCCATGCTGACTGAGGCTGATGGGACGTACAGTCCACAGAGTCTGGTAGAGTCTGGAAGGCTACAGTTTCCACTGGAAGAATGCCATAAGTGGAAGCAGGATATCAGATGAGCATGACTACTGCGAATAGGCCGAGAAATGTTCATGGAGAACCTCAGCAGTTGAGGGTCATGGTCTACATTACTGATTTAAACTGGTTTAATGGCCATTTATTCTCCCCTAGGGAGCTGTGGAGAAAAGGCAGCTTTTAAATAAGAGCTAAACAAAATAAAGACCTGCCTAAAATTGCCAATCCAGTCTTGGATGGCAATTTAATAGAATCATAGAACTGTGGAGTTAGAAGGGACCCCAAGAGGTATCTAGTCCAACCCCCTACAATGCAGGAATCTCAACTAGATCATACATGACAGATGGCCATCCAACTGGTCTTAAAAACACTTTCCTGAATATTGCAAGGCAGTTCTCCGGCCAAATAATGTGTACAAAATGCATATACTGGGGTAAAGTTACTCATAAAATGCATATATTTGTCAAAATAACATACAAAAATGCATTACGTTTGGGAAAAGTGCTCTGCACATGCATATATGAGGTAAAATTGCCTACAAACATCTGTATAGTGGGAGATATTGGCAGTAAAGTGCTGTTGAATTTCATGAGCACTTGTTTTTGTATGAAAATTGCAAATGGTTGTGGAAATGTGGTGAGTTGGAGAGGTGATAAATGAGAGAAACCAGAATTGAGATTCACCCTCCCCTGCTTACGTTAAGTAAGCCCAGTGGGTGTTTCTCCCAGGTACTGGATATAGGAATGCAGCCTACAGCCCTGAAAGTTCAGGTCATCCCCAGAGACACCTGGCGATCCTGCACATAAGGCCTCTCTTTGGATTCCAGCTTCCTTCTCCAAGTAATAGCAGCGAATACCTTGCGATTTTGTGCATCTTGCTTTGTGTGCAACAGTGGGAAAGATTCCCCTTGCATGCTGGAGTTCTTGCCACGGTGTTCCAAGTGCTGCAAGCTCGTTCTTAAGATAATTCTGTGGGAGCTTTGGTGGCCTCCAAGCAAGGGACAAGCCCAGTCCAGCAGATGCATTTTTATAAGGTTGCTTCAACTCGCTGTTTGTGCAACCTCTGTGTGCAGCATCTTATTATTCCTGATGGTTATCTCTCTGCCTGATAGGCACAATAGCTTGGAGGTGCCATTGATGATATTTTTTTCCAGGCCTTTGATGTGCCAGCGCTCCCTTGGCCACGTTTCTTAGCTAAGGAGGAAGGTAAAATCTCTCCAGACTGGGAAAGTGGAATTGGCTGGTGGTTGGTGCGTTGGTATTATCTAAGAGCTAGTTCCTGCAGATGACAAGGCAAGATTGTTTTGTACTCTTCCAACTATTGCAGGTGGGAGATCACAGGTTTGGCAACATCGTCAAAAACAAACCATCCGCATAGAAAAGTAGCAAATCAAGGAGACAGGCTGGAACCTAACCATTTCCCTGATGAACTATCTTTCTATATGCAGGGGATATTTTTCTGTGAACCCAAGATACATATCTGTAGCGTTCATCTAGTCATATTTATTTGTTCTGTTCCTGGAATGTATTTGTTGTTGTTTAGTCGTGTCCGACTCTTCGTGACCAGAGCACGCCAGGCACTCCTGTCTTCCACTGCCTCCTGCAGTTGGGTCAAACTCATGTTAGTAGCTTAGAGAACACTGTCCAACCATCTCGTCCTCTGTCGTCCCCTTATCCTTGTGCCCTCCATCTTTCCCAACATCAGGGTCTTTTCCAGGGAGTCTTCTCTTCTCATGAGGTGGCCAAAGTATGGAGCCTCAGCTTCAGGATCTGTCCTTCCAGTGAGCACTCAAGGCTGATTTCCTTAAAAATGGATAGGTTTGATATTCTTGCAGTCCATGGAATGTATAGCCTGCCTTTCAATGACCAGTTTTCTCTGCGAAGAGCTTGTGGTTATGGATGCTACACTCTCATCCCAGTTACATATGTTCCAAAGATGGAGCAGGCTTTGTTGCTCTGGAAGGCAGGGCTAGAACTAATAGGTGGAAATTTCAGGGAAACAGATTTTGGCTGAATATTAGGAGGACCTTCATAATGGTAAGGCAGGGCTGGGCCCAGGAGCCAAATGTAACCCCTCGATCCAGCCCTTGGGACTCTGTATCTGTGTTAGGAGTGGGTCAGCAATAAATCACATGGAGTAAGGGAAGTTAACTCTTTATTAGAAGAAACAGGGCTGTGCAGTTGTGCCAGGTCTAGTGAGTCCAGCAACTCTTCTCAGTAGGTCTTGCTCCTATGATAGGGTTGCCATATTCCAAGAAGTAAAATTCCGGACACAAGAGTTGTTAAGTTTTTTGGGGGGAATTCCACACACTCCGCCGCCCCCCAAAAAGCACTTCCTGCTTCTGGACATAGGGCAACCCTACGCAGTTGCAGAAGATCCCTGCTATCCTGCAGCTCCCTTAGCCTTCTCCTCCACCCTAGAAGAGTTTTGAGTGGCAAAAATGAGCAGGTGAAGCTTTTCATGACATGGAGTGCAGCGTCACCACTTGGTAACTCCTGAAGCTCAAGCTGCTGATAAAAGGACAGCTCCAGGTTTTAAAAAAAGTAAAGGTCATTGGAAAATGATTTCATAGAATTGTAGAGTTGGAAAGGTCCCAAGGGTCATCTAGTCCAATCCCATGCAATGTAGGAATCTTGGCCACAGCAGTCTCTGGGTGGGCTTGAACCACCAACCTTCTGGTTAACAGCCAAATGCCCTGACCTATCACACCACTATTTGTCCATCTAGCCCAGCCTTCCTCAACCTGTTTCCCTCCAGATGTAGTTGGACCACCACTCTCATCACCCCAATCACTGGCCATGCTACCTGGGGCTGACAGGACTTTGGAGTCCAACAATATCTGGAGAGCACCAGGTTGGGGAAGGCTAATCTAGCCCAGTCCTGACTCCCCCATCTGGCAGCAGCTCTCTAGAGCCTCACAAAAAGGTCTTCCCCACCATCTGCTACCTGACCCTCTTAGGATCTGGGACCTTCCACGTGGAAAACATGTAAACCCCCCACCCTCCAATTGCTATCAGGTATTGTAATGATGATTCGAAATGCATGTCATTGCATTTTAACCATTATTTTTTTACTAGTTTGTTTTTATTACTTCGTATTTGACAATGGTGCTTTTAAAAAGCTGCCTTGAATCCCAGCTCGAGAGAGAGGCAGGAAATAAATACATCAAATAAATAAATACACAAATAAATGGCAACTTCTGTTCACTTCCTTCCAGGTAACACCGGCTCCCCTCTGCTTTCATTCCCTCGCTAGCCTCCTGGGGGGCAGCCTCCCTCCCACAACCCAAGACTTCTCCCAAATCCATGCCCTCCTTTCATCATGAAGGCCTTCTCCAAGTCCCTGAACCCCCAACCGCTCCACCGCCAGTTATCCATAAAGTCAGTCAGAGATGGAGAAGGAATTTTGTACATTGTTTACGCTTCCCAAAATAAAATGCAGGTAGCTTTTGAAAAAGGCACTTCCTCCTCAGTTTTTTGTGCCCTGAAATGCTAACCATTTTTTTCTCGAGGTCTGAAAAACAAATAAATCGCCAACCGACGTGCAAATGCGGCAAACTTACCGGTAATTTAAAAATGGGGAAAAAGAGAAACTGAGAAACCACCATGTATTGATTTTATTGTCTTATTCGTTTTAACAATTTGTGCAACTGCTTAACTACAATAGTCTCTCAGCAGTTTACAAAGATGCAGTAAAAATAAAAGTCAGTTGAAACTACAAAATCAAGCTTCTGGAATGCCTTCTGGAATTTTTTTTAAAAAGGTCTTCGGTAGGTGCCGGAAGTTCAGAAGGGAGGGGGCTGTTTGGCCTCAAGTGGAGGAGAGTTCCACAGACTCAGACCCATAATCCTGAATGCGCACAGGTGATGGTGCATCTAAGCTATGCACCTGAGCCATGGGGGACCACTAACAGTGATCCTCCCCCTCAAGACCTCTGTGACTGGGCAGGGATATAAGGGATCAGGTGATCTTTGAGGTATCCTGAACCCAAACTGTTAAGCGCCATGTAGATTAATACACAAACCTTCAACCTGGCTTGGGACCGTATGGGCAGCCAGTGCAAACTTTTAAGCACTGGAATTATGTGCCGGCGATAGTCTGTTCCCATCCACAGTTTAGCTGCTTCATTTTGCACTGGCCTCTGGAGCAGGGCCAAAGGGACCCCTGACCATTAGGTCCAGTCGTGGCTGACTCTGGGGTTGCGGCGCTCATCTCGCTTTATTGGCCGAGGGAGCCAGCGTACAGCTTCTGGGTCATGTGGCCAGCATGACTAAGCCGCTTCTGGCGAACCAGAGCAGCGCACGGAAACGCCATTTACCTTCCCGCCGGAGCGGTACCTATTTATCTGCTTGCACTTTGACGTGCTTTCGAACTGCTAGGTTGGCAGGAGCAGGGACCGAGCAATGGGAGCTCACCCCGTCGCGGGGATTTGAACCGCTGACCTTCTGATCGGCAAGTCCTAGGCTCTGTGGTTTAACCCACAGCGCCACCCGTGTCCCTCATAGGGCCAAAAGTAGTGCATTGCAATAATCAAGTCTTGAGGCTACCAAAGCAGGCGTCACTGCATATCAGATGCATCTATCGCTAGTCACAGGCTCTTGCCCTCCTCTACCCCACAACAAGAAACAAACCTGAATCCATCATGCTCCTTCCCGTCGCCACTGCTGCCTCTCAAAGATAGATAGATCATTTATTACGGTCAAAGACCAGCTCACCTACCTCTCATATAAGTGAGCCCATTGCCTCCTCGAACAGCAGGCTTCCGAAATGTATGCCTCCCAGTTTCACTTGGAAGCAGATAATTAACTTATCCTATTTTTGACCTCCCCACTGAAACTTTCCCACCCGGTAATTAAAGCCTTCCCTCCCTCTCCCACATTCAATTTATTAATCGCCAGAAATCAAAGTATTAATCCTTTGAATGGCACTAATCAAATGATGAATGACTTGCAACACAGATTAAATATGCTACACTGATTAATCCAAACCCTGCCTCTGGCTTTTCCATTGCTGCTGCAGGTACTTGAACTGCATTCACAGGAAAAAGAAACATTAGCAGGAAAGAAGATAGCTGCTTTGTGCAAAGCAAATTCACATTGTGGCACTTAAGTTAGCAAGATGCTCCCATAGAGGTCTAGTGGTATGCCTGGCCAAAGAACTTTGAAAAGATTATTATCTTCAAAGCACACATTTCTTTAACAACCCAAAAAGCACATTTCAAATTCATTACCCCAGTTCATTTGTTTTATCCATCTCATGAAGCTGGCTGTGGAATCTGTCACCCTCTGTATGCTGTTGGATTTCAGCTCTTATCATTCCTAACCACTGAGCATGCTTGCTGTGGTTGGTGGGAAGTGGAGTCCAACAATATCTGGAAGGCCACGACTTCCCTATTATCTATAGCCTGTGAAAGGAGAGGCCATGATCAATATGTCAGAACGTAACCACATGACGGCACCCTTTCCATCTGGCTAGTCTACCCATCCTATTCCATCAGGCTCCTTCCTCACCATCATTCAGCTTTGCTGAAAGACCAGAAACATTTGACTCCTGCTCTCACTGAAATCTTCCAATTCCAGAGAATCATTACAATGACTTGTAACTAAGAAATAGTGCCTGGATTTTCCTTCCTTCTCCTCTCTCACAACCTTTTCCCTTTTGAGGCATGTATTTTAGACTGTACAGTGGTACCTCAGGTTAAGCACTTAATTCGTTCCGGAGGTCCATTCTTAACCTGAAACTGGTCTTAACCTGAGGTACCACTTTAGCTAATGGGGCCGCCTACTGCCGCTGTGCTGCTGGAGCACAATTTCTGTTCTCCTCCTGAAGCAAAGTTCTTAACTTGAGGTAATATTTCTGGGTTAGCGGAGTCTGTAACCGGAAGCGTATGTAACCTGAGGTACCACTGTATACCTTAAAGCAGGAATAACTATTGAAACCATTTGAGTTTGCGTTGTAAGCAAACTTTCGGCTAATTTCAAAAAGTGAAAATCTGGACACAAAAGTTGTTGAGCTTTAATAAATTATTATTTTGAGCTATTTTTAATGAAATTCGCCAAATTCTACACTTCCAATTTTGCCAAAATCTACATATGGGCTGCCATATGGATATATGCATAATCCTACATATATGCATTTTAAAGTGCTTTCCTGTATAATCCTATGTCTACTCTGAAGTAGGCCCTAATGATGCACATTATAATTTACTCTCTGTTAACTGTGTATAGTATGACAGCCTTAATTATCATTTTGGAATCATAGGGACATAGGAAGTGGAGGTCAGATTCCCAGCCATACATTTAAAGCACTATGATAGCTCTCGAAAAGTCATGGCTTCCCCAAAAAGGATTCTGGGAGCTGTGGTTTGTGAAGGGTGCTGAGAGTTGTCAGGAGTCCCCTATTCCTCTCCTAGAGCTACAGTTCTAAAATTTGACAATTATTCCCTCTTCATGGGGAACTCAGGGAATCGTTACTGGAATTGCCTGTAAGATGTTTTTGTTTTGTTTTATTTCTACCTTGTTTGCTGCCCTTGGCTCCTTGGGAGGAAAGGCAGACCATGCATTTAATCAAATGATGAGAGCCAACGTGGTGTGAGAGCCAGTGTGGTGTAGTGGTTAAGAGCAGTAGTCTTGTAATCTGGGGAACCGGGTTCGCGTCTCCGCTCCTCCACATGCAGCTGCTGGGTGACCTTGGGCCAGTCACACTTCTCTGAAGTCTCTCAGCCTCACTCACCTCACAGAATGTTTGTTGTGGGGGAGGAAGGGAAAGGAGAATGTTAGCCGTTTTGAGACTCCTTAGGGTAGTAATAAAGCGGGATATCAAATCCAAACTCTTCAAACTCTTCTTAATAAATAAAGTAAATAAATAATACAATAAATGAATGATCAATAAAAACTAGATAAAATCTGAGCTCTGTGTAAGCTTTGTGCAAGCAAAACAGGAGGAATGCTCAGTAAACAAGTTGTTTAAAGGAACCTGAAATATACTTAGAGTCGAGTGTGAATTTCATGCTCTTTATTCAGCTCGTAGTAGCAATGAATGGAACTTGCCCCAAAACGTCTAGCTATATATACATTATTTACACAATGGGCCCCGCTTGATTGGCTAATTCCTTGCTGCTCCTGCAGGCCAATCAGGTTGCTGATTCACTCCATCCAGGAGCCTGATTGGCTGCTCCTGCAGGCCAATCAGGTCGCTAATTCACTTCCACCTGGAGCTGGATTGGGTGGCTCCTGCGGACCAATCAGACTCGTGCATTCTGGATCCTATTGATCTAGGATCCAGCTCAGTACATAACAGAACCCTTAGGTATTCCTCATACAAGGAACACAAGTATTTTTCTCATTTTATTATTTTACTCATAATGTAGACTTAAGCTGATACTCATGGCTGGGAAATGGGTGGTAGTGGTACTGAGCATTTTGGTTGAACCCAGCCGGGTACACATGCAGTGATGAGATAAACCACACTCCCAATGAAGAACCCCAAAATGTTACCAAAGAACTCTCGTGTTTCCCAGAGCACATTTTCTAAAACTCGCTGCTCTGAAGAAGTGGGAAACTTATCTAGAACTTTGGTTTCTCAAGTCTTCTTTGGTATTCCATCTGTTCAGCATTTAAAAACTTGCCTGAAGTTGAAAATGTAATTAAGGACTCTTGATATCGTATTTCTAGTGACATCCTTAGCCATTGATCATTCCAGCCAAGACAAGGG